TTATTTAGGTATATGTAAAATTTTGGGGCACAACTTTTTGATGATATCGAGTATTACTGAAGTTAAAAATATACACTGTTCCAAAATTTTAACCGCAACCCTATTTTTCTCATTAAATTTTGTAAAATTAAGCGGATATAGTGTAGTGTAACGGTAGTAAAGTTCGGGACATGACATATGTCATCGATTCGTCTTGACGAACTGAGTCGAATGGTACCACTCACTACTTTAGGAACTGATTCTGGACCGAATTATAGGTCCCGAAATATTGAAAAATTTTTTGGTCGTTCCGAGTTTTGGTAATTCCTCGTTTTGTCGTTCCGTGTCCATTCCGCGTTTTAGCCAGACACTTGAAAAAACATATGGGGAGTAAGTAATTTTTTTCAATTTATCGACATTTTTAATAAAACAATTTAATGATAAATATCAAAAAATAAAACTAAAAAACTATGTAATTTTAGAATAAGAGACAGAAGTTTATCAAAATAATGGTGAATAAAAACTACATTTAGTGTTTCCTACCAAGACCGCTAAATCGGCCTTATTGAACACTTTAAATTCCAGTAATATACTGAATGTTTTTAATATATGGAGCAGACGTGGGCGAAACGTTTTGTTTTGTTTCGTTGTTTCGTTAGTTTCGTTATGTTTTTTCCTGTTTCGTCTCGTTTCGTGACGAAACACTTTTTAATTTGTTTCGTTTCGTTTTGTTAACGAAACACCTGTGTTTCGTTAACGAAACATTACCTATTTTTTAAGCCAAAATATACCCCAAAAACTAAAAAAATTTCCCCTTTGGTGATAAAAATTCAAAAAATTTTCGCCTGCGGCGCTGAAAAAGGAAGAAATCTGGCTTATTGGCCTTCAAACTTTTCAAAAATTTCGCCTGCGGCGCAGAAAATGGAAGAAATCTGGCTTATGTACACCTACTCACTGATGACCAGTGCTGGGCTCCGAATTTTCTCCGAATTTTCTCCGAATTTTCCACAACTCCGAATTTTCTGATAACTCCCGCACTTTTCTTTCCATTTTCTTATTCACTCATTTTTTAAAAGTCAAAATTACAGTCAGTTAAGAATTCCTTCATTTTAACACCACAAAATCAAAAATTTGAAAATTTCGAAAGAAAAAACCCATCGAGACTCAAAACTGTTTGTGCTTTAACTCCGAAAATAAACAAACTAAAGGCTCAGTTCTACCTTTAATTTAAATTTTTTGACAGATTTTAGATGGTTTTCTATAAAATATCAAACGAAAAGCTTGAAATTATCATCAACTGAATTCCCAACTTCCAAATCCTTCTAGCGTTGACTATTTCAGTCATCAAATTCCCCTTCTTTTATTCCCGAACCTCCTTGGAATCCCATATCTCCTTCGTGATGTCCAGTGTATTGTTGGTGTCCTCTCCCTGTATACTCCCCAAAACCTTGTTGATGACTAGAAATTTGTTGATTTCCATAGCCTGTCTGATATCCATAGTTTTGCTGATGTCCGCTAAAATAATTTCCTTGAATACTTGGTTGATTGTATCCCAAAGCATTTCCTTGTCCAAAATCATGTTTATATCCCCAAGTTGAAGTATCTCCATATCTACGGCACATATTTTTCAGCTTAAAATTTAACAAAGAGTTTTAAATTATTTTAATTTATTTTTTAAAAAATTAATTTTATTAATTTTTTAATACATGATTGAGTATCAATTGATGTAGTTTAAAAGTTTTGTTATCCGGATGATACAGCAATATATTTTGGTGAAAACCGCTAAAGAGTAAATGTTGTTTCCTTTCATCTGCTAATAATATGTTGACTATTATCGCTTTAAGTTTTTCTAACAAATTTCGTTCTTTTAAGTTATTTTTTCTCAGATTAATATATAGACGAGTAAAATTTTGAGAAGTCTTTAATTTATGATTAATTAGATCACAGTGAAGTTTACTCAATATTTCGTTGAATACTGAAAAAATATTTTTAATAAAAATAGGCTCTATGTGAAAGGAATTCCGGCATCATATTTTTCCTCATTTCCTTGAAATGGTTATTTTTCCATTAAGGTTATTTTTCCTTTACAGGAAATTCTCATGTGTCTATAAAGAATTTTAGTGATCGACCACATTCTATAAACCATAACCTATTAATTATAACGTATAGCATGGATGGATAAAATTAGTAGTACAATAACGAATTAAGAAAATAAACATACTATAAGTTTTAAAAAGTAAAGGATTAAATTTTTCCACTTGAATTTCAGAATCTAAAGAAATTTTTGTTGGATATTCATTGCTCTCATCTTGAAGTAAAGATGGCAAATAATTATTCCCTAAATTTTAATTTATATAAACTTAACTTATAAATTAATTTATAAACTTTAAATAATATAATAATTAATAGATTTTGGGCAAAATATGTGGAATTATGAAAAATTTTGCCTGCAGTGTTGAACTTAACTACTCTACTAAAAATTTCGGTTTCAGATTCTGATATCCTGAATTTTCGGTTCGGATATTGGATCTGGGTAACAGGGATTTCCTATGATACGTCAACCTATTTACATCCAACGAAGGGAGATTCTAGAGATTGGAAACCTTCTGATATCATACTCAATCCTACAGATCCCCTGATATCCCCGATTTAAGAAAGTTTTTCGACCAAAGGTTTCGCCTTTCATGTTTTACAGTTCGATTCTTAAATTGATTTTTGCCTTTCGTTTTTTAAAATAGGTTTCGACACACCCCTAGTTAAATTTCGTGAAAGTCGGGGATCGGGGATATCAGGGGATCTGTACCAACATCCATATGCAAACATGCTCTAAATTACCAAATATGCAAAATTATTGTCTTGGCCAGACTGAGTATGTGTATTTATTTAGATTATTTAATTAACTTTATAACCTTCCTTAGAAATTCCCATCAACTTTTCTGATAATTTTTCAAGATCATTGAAACGGTAAACATAAATCAGAATTGAAACAATTTCGCTAGTTTTAATATATTTTAAAAATATTTTAATAAAAATACTTACGGGTTTTCGTTTCTTTTATTATAAAAATTAATTAACATAATATTGTAGTAATAATTATTTTGTCCGTGAAATTTAATAAACGAACGAATTAAATGTTGAATTAATTTAATTAAATTCCAAACAATAAATATATTTCTTTCAAGATTGGTTGGATTTGGATATTCAAAATGTGTAGAGAGTAAAAAGAGTTCCTCCTTACTTAATTTATATTAGAAATTAATTAATAAACTAGCACGGCTTTTGATTAGAGTAGAACGAGGTCGAGGTTTTTTGAAAAAACTGAGGCCGAGGATCACTGAGGATTGAAAAGCCGAGATCGAGGTTGAGGGGCTGATTTGGACCCGAGCCAAGGTCGAGTATATGGATCAGACAACTCAAAGCTTATGTTAAATAATTTCAGAGCAAATAAAATATTTTTAAATACACAGGACTTGAAATATAGTTTGTAAATGACTGGAAAATAAAACTATTTTATCAAATATTACATATACTTTGAAACTACCTATTTGATTTTTTGTTACACTGGGTTTTGAGACGGATATCGAGGGATTTAAAGGGTTCTTCTAATCAAATAAATATTTACATATTACCTAAAAGTGTCTGTATTATTCAGAGTATTTATTGCTACTTCAGTCAATTTTGTATTTGTATCTAATAACGAGTAATCCATTCCATATGGCAAAAATCTTGAATTTTTTATCAATAAAAAGTATTTTTGATACGTCATTGTTTCACTCATATTTTTTAAACCAATTTCAATCTTTTTGCGCTCTAATTTTGAATCAAATTTTTCATTATAATAGTTAATAATCTTTATAAAATATAAAATTTATTTTTAATGTAAGGTGTAGTCTGGCAGTAAAGTCTAAAATGCACTTTGATTCAACCTTCCGTTTTGTTATTTCCCCAAAAACATGTTTACAGATAAAATATATCCGTCCATTAATGTTTATTACATAATGATTTACTTTCTTCTCAGTAAGTCCTTATTAATGTAATGCTATTCCTATGTGATTCGGCAAGCCTGAGACAACAAAGCGGTCTATATATGCTTCGGCAAGTCTGAATACCTGATCAACCTCAGAGCTTGACCGATTAAGGTGAAAGTTATCCCGGACATAAGTCCGGTGGCCCCGTGTGGAATGGCCCCGTGGAATGGCCCCCTGCTGTGTTTCTTTAATTTAGTAATAAACCTTCTCTAATTTTTCTGATGTTATTTTAAACGATTCTAATTCAAAAATCTTTGGAGTGTCTGGAATTAGTGCAGAATTTATTTTATTTCCACGTTCAATAATATTTTTATGTATTGTTGTTGGACTGTTTAATTTCATTTCTTCAATATTAATGTGATCAAATGTCCGAATTAAAAGGGACAATTCAATAAGAGAAAAATTATTTTCATGGAAGGCTGCTGGTGTTTGAATAGCTGAAGGAGAAATAGCTATATAACCAATTCAGCTTTACTATGTAAAGTTATTAAATATATTTTTGTAATTAAAATAAACAGTTCTGTTCAAACTTTATTCCCTATTTTAAGGGTTTTCGTTCCTAGTTTGCTTATAATTTTCAAAATTTATTCCCAAAAAATCAAACTCTAGTTAATAATGTGTAGGTAAGACTAGAATTATTATATTGTCTTTGCCATGTGAATTATACTAAACTTAAAAATACAAACAATATTTTGTAAACATTCCATCAGTCAATTCAAGTTGGAATACTTTAATGACAAAAATTGAAAGTAAAATTAAAATTAAATCTTTCATTTTTTAAATTTTTAAGCTGATGTAAGATAAAATGATGTGAAGAGATGAATAAAAATTACATAGTGCAAGACTAAGCGCGTTTATTATAAGGGGAAATAAGATTGAGAAATATTAAACTAATTTTCCCAGCGACTACGTCTATCCATAAAACAAAATAAAATTCTAAAAAAAACAAAATAAGCAGTTCTTTTTCCTGTTAAATAATTCCTATTTAGGTAGGTATATATTTTGAGAGCCTTCTGTGTACAACTGGAGCGCGAGGCTTTGTAAAGCTCGATGAAAACGACAGGGGAGGCGCAGTGATTGTCATTCCTAAAATTAATCAGCTCAAGGTGACACTTAGCTTAACAAAGATTTTATTAAAGCATTCCAAATATAATGAGTTGGGTGTGAGTTGGTCCACGGGGACACAGTTAGACTTGAAGAAGGGACTAATCGCTCAAGAGCAATAAACCGGAAAATAAAATGATGTGAAGAGGTGAATAAAAATTAGTCGCTGGACTAAAAGCGTTTATTTTATACACTTAATAATGGATTTGTTAGAGTTTTACATTATAAAATTCATTAAATTGTACTAATTTCAAATTGATAGCAATACAGTATGTAGGACATTAACTAGATATCCCTCATTATTTAAATATTTATTTGCTTCAACCTTTAATCTAATAGCGAGGTCCGACTTTAAAATATTTTTTTCCTACAGAAAAATTAGTTTTATAACTAATAATAATATTAATATCCCAATCGACCCGGACATTAATATTAACCAGACAAAATTATCCACCAAAACATTGTTATCTTCATCAATTTTCCTTTCAGTCAAGCAAATCTCTGTTCTTTTCTTTACCCCAAGAATTGCATCACGTGCCCCACTCCAAGCTTTAGTTCCTCGAAGTCTATAGACATAAGAGACGTTTGGCCCAAAAATGAGGGCATATGCTAAGCGCGGATCTGATAAAATATAATCCATTGGTTTGGGCTTGCAGTCAAGAATTTCAGCTAATGAGTCCATATAAGGCACACAATCTACCTGTAATTAGTACTTTCAAAATTAATTTTTCATATTCAAATTAACTTCGATTGTGTGCCGTGTACTTTCCACAAATGTTTTTGTTAACCAATCTCTGTACTGATCAACTTCCTTTTCCATTTCTGGACCGGTAGGCAATTTTGCTTCTCTATTGAGTCCAGCAAAGAATAATCTTGCCTAGTAAGTTATTATTTAATTTTTTTATTCTCGGTCAGATTTTGATTTATTCATTAACATTTCTGTCAACTACTCCGTTGCATACTTTAAGGTCCTTAATTTACCTGAAATTCAGCTGCTGGTAATATCGAACCTGACGGCTGAACTAACCCAATAATTGCCAAACTATTCCATTTTGCAAGAGATGGAGGGAACACGTTTTTATATAATTTAGCTTGGTTATCCTTAACTGGAATAAGTTTCCCTTCCTCCACTATATCAAAATCGAAATGATAACCAGTGCACATTACCTAAAAAGCTTTTTTACTTTAAATTGTTAACAAATATTGCTTTTATTTCTACCACATTATCGATATTATCTGTAAAAGTCCCATCTGTCCAAACAATTCCTTTTTCGGTGAATTCGCGAATATTTGTTTTAACCACAACTAACAGAGAATTTTTATTATTATTAGCTCTTATTTTTTAAATTTCATATACCAGATCCAGTAATAATACGTGTTGGAAGATCATCACTTATCGTTGCGTGTTGACTACATTTTTTAATACATAATTTATTTTAACAACAAAAACAAACCCATAAAATGAGTGTTTGGGTTTCATTCCATATTTAGCATGGTCAAAACGTTTCTGTAATTGATTTATAATCAGCCAGCTGCGCAAATTTTCGGGTATCAAAACATCCCAAAAACAGCATTTAAAACGAGTAGTAGCATAGTCTCCTAATAAATAATAAAAATTTACACGAAAGAGATAGGAAATCCTTAACCAAAGTTGTCAGTTCCTAAAAAATCTTTGGATATCCGGAACTAGAAAATCCTCGATTCTTTGGTTCTGATCCGAACCAACAATCCTACCCATGACATTTGTGGGGATTTCTTTTCCAATCTCTAGTACACGCTGTCTATTACCTAAGTTTTAAATTATACCTGGAATTCCACCAGGGCCAACTCTTTTATCAACCCATGCACCTCTCCTCGTAGACAAATAACAGAGTTTGCTAACACGGCCTTAATATTCCACAAAAATTTGGGCAAATCTCCGTAAAATATAAATTACCCAATTCCACCGCTAAGTCCATTCCACTATTCCCAACACCAACTACAACGTTAATCTATTGTAAATTAATTGGAAATTATATTCTCTTTCACAAAAAATAAATTATACTTTGTCCTCAAAGTTTTTCGAATCCTTATATTCGTGTGAATGTATTATCTTTCCCTGAAAAAGCTCTTGGCCAGGAAAACTAATAATTTTTGGTTTAGCATGATGTCCTTGAGCTAAAAGGACACAATCGAATATTTCTTTTTTATTTTGTCCATTTTCATCAACCCAACAGACTGTCCAACATCCAGTTTCTTCATAATCGTCAGCTCGACACACAGAAGTTACCGTATTTCTATAGCTTAAAATTGGAACCTTCGACATTTTAAAAACAATGTTAACTACCGAATGTATCTATCCAAGTTCCAATGTTTTGCATACAATTCCAAATATTCTATCATTTTAGTCTGGAAAAAGCTAATATCATATTATATCTTAGCTCAGAATATAATTTATTATAGCTGAATATAAGTCTTTGAAAGATTCTTAAAGGTTACTTTTTAATCTGAAAAAAATACAAGTTTCTTGATTAAATATGCTTGGTAAATGAAACAGATCAGAATCAAAAAATTTTTGATCAGAATCATTAAAAGTCTTTTCATTAGTTTTATCCTTTTAAATAATCTACCTAATTATTATTCTTTATCTTCTAAATAAAGGAAATGACCGTTTCCATGGACTGGTTCTAGAACTTTACTGTTCCCGCCTGCCCCGGGAAACATGTCAATAACAACTTTCATTAACTTTAACAATAATAATAATATAAATTTCCTACATTATGCATATAATTAGCAAAGTGATCTGGTGGCGGGAAATCACTGAAAGCATTCATTTCTTTGCTTGCTTAAATTATTATTAATACTAAAATAGCTATTTTATTTAATTTACTGTCTATAACTGTAAATTTCATAACACTAGCTATATCATTTCCAAACTGTTCAGGATTGTAACGCCAGAGACCCCCAAGCTGATCAAGACGTTCAAAAATAACTGGTTCATAACCATACTCAATTGCCCATCTTTAGATTAAAAACTCATTTAAAGACATTTTTTTGAAATTAAACAGAACCTGGCTGAAGGTAACCCACTCACTGCCGCGCCAACGATTGCGCATCTTTTCTTATTTTCAGACATTTTTAGAAAATATTAAATGCCTAATAAGAATAAATTATTTAAAAACTACTGTAGTTAGGGATTTTATTTTAAAATTAAAAAAAAATTGATAGTGATTTTAGAGTATTATCAAACTTTTATTTTAAAACAAAATAAATGACAGAAAAATGACTCGGTTAAGAAACGCCCAGACTTTTAATTAAATCAAATCAGAATTTTTTAGAATAATACATAAAATAATCTTCTTACTGATATGTAAAAACATTAATTTGTTAAAAATAAAGAATTAATTTCCATTATCTCGGTCAAAATAAAATATTCTTCTATTGAAAAAATAATGTACTTACATATTTGTATTTAAAACAAAGATAAGAATGATAACATTTTATTCATGAAAATATTATTGGACAGATAATATCAAAAACAGTCAAAAACATTTCCTAATTGATTATAAATTTAAAGAAGTCTAAAATGAATTCTTTCTTTAATGAATTTAAAATTTAAAAAAATAAAAAGAAAAACCGAAATAATTTAATTTCTAAAGTTGTAAAGTAGGCATTATCTTTGAACAGAACCCCGACATGCAGGGTTGCTGGGTTTTTTTCCTTTTTATGATTTTCAGTCCTACTTTTATTACGTCGAAGATTCAGGTGCTAGTATTCTGTTAAGAATTATCGAATCATTCAGATTTTGATGTTATTCAACTCAGCCCGTTGAAGATTTTTAAATAAAAATAAAAATTTCTAGGTGTGGTGGAGGGGGCATTTTTAATACATTTAAAAATTTATTAGAGGAGAGTTCAATTCAATTTCCATTCTTAGGGATGTACATCTAAAAAAGATCAAACAACTCGAGACAAGGCTTCATTCCAAGATAGAAAAACTCAAGAAAAGGCTTGAGTCAATTAACAAGCTCAAGAGTCTTCGACGTCCTTCTGCATAAGAGAGTTTCTGATCATTTGCTTTTTGTATTCTGTCATTTCCATCATTTTTGTGTAGCCGTGTATTTATTTTAGTATTTGGAAACGGCCAAAATGATTAAAAAATCGAAAAAATTAAATTTTGTTTTTATTATAAATCAATTAAATTTACTCCTATAATCGTTTTTATTTCTTCGTTCAAATTTTGTTTCAGTCAATTTGGGTCATCTTTTTTGTAAATTATTTTACGAAGAAAGATGCTGCGAATCAAAACGTTAAAAACAATAAATAATAGAGCAGGACCACCCTTACTATTTTTTTACTTTTTACTTTTTTGAACAAAATTATTTTTTTAATATCTAGTTCTGTTTATTTATAACGCGAAAATAATTTTATTTCTTGTATATTTTTGTAAAATTATTTTTAATAAAGAAAATATTTTTAATAAAGATAAGACCAGTCTGAAGTTTGAATGTTAACTTTTAAGTAGGTCGAGGCATTTTTTCGGGCTTGTCTTTATCGAGACAGGGCTGTCGATTCACTTTCGGGCCTAACTTTATCGAATCGGACCGGTGCTAGTCACTTTCTGGCCAAATATTTTGGTCTCGACTCGATCTTTCAGTCTGAATCGGTTCATTTTGGCAACCCTACTTTTACTAATAAATAGGCCTATGAGTCTAATGATGGTCTAATCTTTAAAAGGTATTGTGTTTTGTTGTCCTGACAGAAATCTTTCTATAAACGTCTAGAGTTCATTTGATTAATAGATTAGACTTGAACCAATAAAAGTTTAATTTTCCAGTCTTAACTAAACAGATGCTTGCTTCAATTTTTAAAAAATTTAAATTTATACTTTTTATTTCATTAATACTAATATTTTTAATTTTTATTTTCTATTATCACAACAATTATTATAGTTATAATTTACAAAGAAAAATAGTAAAAATTGGAAAGAATAATTTACATCTTCCTCATGCCAGCAAGTTGCCTGAAGAAATAGGAAATGTTAATTGTATGTTAATAATTAGATAGTTTAACTTGCTTTACGATTGTTATATAGAAAAATCATCTTGATATCGATAATAACAATCCCATTATTTCTCAGAGTTTAGTAAATAAACAGATATTCGATTGTATAGCTAAATAGCTAATGGGAGCAGGCAAAAGTACCGCAGGCTATAACTTCATTCAGAATTGTCGAATCCGGAACGCCCTGGTATGGTTCGGAGCGTTTCGCGAGCCCAGATTCGACAATTCTGATGCGGTACTCTGGCCTGCGGTACCTTGGAGTGTATCCATAGCTAATAAATATTTTAAAGTCAACAATATAATCTCCATGCAAACAACAGCTAAACATAGACGAGTTAACTCAAGAATTAATATGGGTAAATGTTCTCCAATATTTGGAAAAGTGACTGTTCTCGTGATTGTTGTCGAGAGTTCTTACAAGACGTAAAAATCGGTGCTTTTAAAATAAAATAATTAAGATTGACAATTAAAATTAAAAAAAGTCAAATTACAATTTTATAGGCAAATTTATTTAAATTTTTTATTTTACAAATATTTATACTTAACTAAAACCCCTATAATTTTAAGTCACTATGCAGTTGCTCAGCGCTCACTAGAATGCTATTTGCGAGCCACTAATTATACGTTTAAACTTGTTGATTTAGATCATGATGAACGAACAAATAAGTATTGCAAACATGATCAGGTAGGAGTTTTATGTTGCTATTAAGAGGTGATAATATGAGGTTGTAATAAGATTAGAATAATAATTTGCTGCTAATAAAAGTTCTATCTGCAGCTAGCTATCCAATATTATCCATACTTGTGATTAGAATTTCACTCCAACTTTGAACGATTTGTTATCAAGACCACAGAAGACACAATCCCAAAAACCCCTACCCAGAATCTTTTTAAACTAAAGGCACAAAAAGCAACAATAAATTCGAATTCTGATTCAATTCTGATTCAATTCTAAAAATTCGCTTTTTGCAATTAGCATTATTAATATCAGCATAGAACTGCAATCACCGTCTCGAAGGGATATACCAATTACTATTTAACTCATTTCAGCTTTTCTTTAAAAAACATTGTGCTGTAGCTGTGTATTTAGCTGATTCTGATTGGACGTTAGTATTGGATGCAGATGCTGGTGTTGTTAACCCAAACCATTGTATTGAGGAATGGATTGATGATAGAGTTGATTTGATTTTTTATGAACGATTTTTTAACTGGGAAGTTGCTTCTGGGAATTATTTGGTAGATATTAGTTAAATTTTGATAAAATTTAATAATTGATGAAACAATAAAATAAGGAAAGTTTCATCTTCTATTTTATTGTAAGGTGATTCTAGATGCACTTTAAAACGCTTATTTGTTAGGCAGCGGTTAAAAGAACATAAAGATCAAAGAGAGGGCATCAGGGGTGAGCGCAAGAGACAATCTCAAAAAACGCAAGACGCAAAACGCAACGCAAGGCCAAAATTTAACGCAAATAACGCAAGACGCAAAACGCAAAACGCAAGAACGCAAAATTGGGAAAAAAATTTTTTAAATTAAGTATTAGCCATTTTTCAGTTAAAATTGGTGTATTACTATAAGTCAGCGAGTCCTAATTAAGTTTGTGATACATGTAATTTGGATGGGTAATGTTTTGGAGAGGGATAAAGGATTTGAAGGGATTATGAAGGAAGTCAGAGGATTTAGAAGGATCAAGGGGTTTAACGAAGTAGCGGGGGATTACGGAGATTATCATGTAATTTGGAGCGATCAAGGAGATTTAAAAAGATACCATGGGATTACTGAAGGCTGTCGGGTGAGTTAGAGAGATAACAGAGGATAAAGAGCTATCAGTATTTATAATTTGATTCCGGGGATATCAGGTGATTTGGAGGATAACTTGAGATCTGAGCTCCAGATACTGACCGATATTTTTTGAGCCGTTCAAGATGGAAAATTGGTATTTAAATACCTTGCTTTCAGCGCCGCAGGCAAAAATTTTGAGAATTTTGGAAAGCAGAAGCTAGATTTCTCCCAATTTTTGCCTTCAGATTAGAAGAATAACAGGGATTTGAGCATATAGTAGTTATCAGGGATTGAAGAGATATAGCAGGATATCCCTACAAACCCCCGATATCTTTTTAAATCAACCTTAATCGCAGTAAATCGACCGATAGTCTTCTATCACCTCATTTCCCCCGATATTTTCCACTTAGCCACTTTATCCCTCCTCCATTTTCTGCGCCGCAAGCGAAAATTTTGAGAATTTTGGAAGGCCAGAAAGCAAAATTTCTTCCTTTTTTAGCGCCGTAGGCGAAAATTTTTAGAATTTTGGAAGGTCAATAAGCCGGATTTCTCCAATTTTGTCCTCAGATTGGGTATATTTTTTGCGTTAATTTCATCGAAAATAACGCAAGACGCAAAACGCAACGCAAGGCCAAAATTTAACGCAAATGACGCAAAACGCAAAACGCAAAACGCAATGCGCTCACCCCTGGTTCGAATCCTGGCCGTTGCATTATTATACGGTTGATTTTCGTTAAAGGGTACATTCCTGATATTCACAAAATCATAGGGGTCCTTATATAATAAAACAAAAAGATTCTACTCTATCTCTGTGTTGATTATAATGAAAGTTCACTGCATAAAAATTGTAGTGATCTTCCATTAAAGCAACTTAATTTTATTTTAAAGGCTAGGAATAGCGAGTTCTCTCGTGCCTTTATAATGAACTGGGCAAATATGCAATACACTCAATCCAAAAATTTTTCTGGGGCCGATAATGGTGCCCTACAATTACATATATTACAAACAGTTATTCCAGGTGCTAGAGCTGAAATTAAGGTAATTTTTATTAGAAAATATTTTTAAATATATTTAGGCTTGTAAAAAGCTTTGGAATTTAGCTAATAACTATGAGCGTTATATGGGCTATGTGACTTGTGTTAAAACAGCTTTAGGTCTAAAAAATGTTATTAGAGTATAAAATTATATTTCCTTGAAGGGGCTACACGTATATGGCCTGGTAAATTGCGAATTTTAAGACGAGGGCATGCTTGGATACGAGACTGGTTTTTAACTACAGATTCTTGGTCAGCACGTGATTTTATGTTGCATGGTTAGCCATTTTGGATAATTTTCTCAGAAATAATTTTTAGGCTGGAAAGCACAAAATATCTCATCCAGTTGGGAATCCCCTTTTAAAAAAGTACCCGTTCCCGATGAATGTATTGGTGGATATGCTGGGTGGAATTGGAGAACTGAAAAGGCAAAAGAATTTTTAAATTTCTGTTAAAGGACTATACATAAGTCTTTAAAAGACATATTTTGGCTAGCTGACACTTTTCTTATTTTCAGAGAATTTCTGTTGAAGAAGTCAGAAGTCAACTAGCACAAGCAGAAAAATCAGGAGGTGTTGCATTCCCGAAAGAAGGAAGGGTTTTGGCACATTTAACTGAACCTGATGTTGGTGAATGTTATCCGGAATGTGATTATTGGACATAATTAATAAATAATATTTTCTGAATAATAAACAATTGTTACAAATAAATGAATGGTTAGCTATTTGGTTAATTATCGGCACTTTTAGATTGAAAAATTGGAACAAACCGACTTCTTATTTTAATAAACAGTACCTTCTCGTTAAGAAAATGGGGCTTAATATGATATTAAAGCAGCTGGGCTATAGCTAGTTCTCTCCTTTAGCTAGTGCAAAAGGTTAATCGGCGGCTGGGTGCGAACCAGCATCTTCAGTAGACGGACTGATAATTCATTACACCACGCCTTCTACTGCACAGCTTTAGGAAATAGAAGTAGCATATGTATGAACCGATAATAATTTAAACTCGACAAAATATTTTTTTGTATTTCGACACTCATTTGTCAGAGCATAAAATTACACCGTCCATTTGTTTTTCAGGATAATTAATACATTATGGTACTAATTACTGCTTAGAAATTTTCAATATATTATGTAATCCATTCATAACTTGAAACTTAAAAGCAAAATTTATTTTTAATTCTGAGAAATTTAAAAATGAATTTTAAAATAATTAAAGGAAATTAAGAAATAATTTTAACTATTATTTTTGACTGACAAAGTGCATTTCATTAGATGATTTTCTAAATTTCATAAGGCGCCTTCATAAGGTTGTTTGTTTATGAAATTTTTTCGTCATGTCTGTCAACATGCACTTTAATTAAATTCTTGACTTTAAAAGGGGGAAGAGAATTCTTGTTTTATTCAAAAATTAAATTTAAAAAATTCCATTATTAAACCCCTAATTAAAGACAATATAATGTCTCCTTCTTCATTCACTTTAACTGTGGTCGTTCTTGAAGCGATTGTTTTTCTCTACAACCGTCAAGTAGCAACAATGCTTTCAATGCATCCAAGTAATTATTTAACATAGTTTTTGAACCTTTTGTTGTAAAAGTAGTAACTAAATAATCCGTAGTAGTGCATAAATTTGAACACGAAAAAGTCCTGTCATGTTTCGTGTTGGAAAAAGCCCTGGTAAAATACAAGTATAAATGAAACAAATTGAGATTAACAATTTATTTTTAAAAATTCAGGTTGTTCTGGTCGATCATCAACAATTGAAAATAAATTGAAAATGAGCGGAGGTGGTAAAGGCACCAAACATTTAATGCCGGGAAATGTTTCATTCCCGGTAGCATGCCATAACCATCGAAAGAATCTCAAAGCCGTGAATGGAACATCAAATAAAATCTCAGAAGCTTTGAATATAAATCCAGAAAAGCTCATTAATGGTAAAGAGAATGATCTCATTCATAAAATGAATAAGGCTAAAAAGGGTAATGGAGCTGCTGTTGAACATTATATACATAGTGTTCCATATAACACAGAAAAGAATGATGAAAGTGGAAAAGATTCTGGAAATGGGAAAGCTTTTAAAACCATGGAAGCTTTGCAAGAGTATCCAAAACAGAATAAAAATGATAAGGAAAATTATCAGAAAAGAGAAGAATTGGAGCATTATTTAAACAGTATTCCTTATGATAAAAAAGCTGGAAAAAACGAAAAGAGTAAAAAAGTTACTAAGGCAGGCATTATTGAAAAAGAAACTGATCCAATGTTTCATTCAAAAGCTGGGAATCTTGCCAAAAAGATAAAAGAATATATTAAAGTAAGTTTGAATAATATAAAAATGGCCAGTAATCATTTGCATTGAGTGGTTACCTGCGGAATTTTGGCCGGAAGGGATGGCCATGTTGTCACAAAATTTAACGTTCTATTTTATTCAGTAACAACAGTATGTTATGAAAACCAGCATTTGTATTAACGTCTTGTGATTAAGATCCTAGAGATTTGTGACATAAATCGGAACGACAATAAATTACTGGCACCTGACCTACGTTATGTCCTTAATAGTTCGATTGCATTTTAAAAAATGTATTTCCATCCCCATAAGATCAATGTTGACATTCTTAAGACCAGAAATATATTCTTATTTTTACTGTCCCTACATATTAATGATATTAAATCAAAATAAAAATCTATTCCTGTTTAGAATACAGACGAGTTCAAAATTCAGGCTGGACTGTTAAATCGTAACGATATTTTTAATGCCCCAAAAGATGATACTAAAAATTTGATAGACATCTCTTATCTCTTAATGTCTTTTAATGAAGACGAGAGAGGTTCTGTAGAAAATTTGAAAAGCGCTGCTGAATTGTTTGTGGCCCTGCATGAGGGTTACCAAATCTATTCAGTAACTCCTCTGATTTTTGAAGTTGAGATGGTTTTGAAAAAACTTGAGGAGGAGGGAAACAAAGACGATCCAATAAAATTACTTGAATATTTTAGTGAAAAAAATATTAAATATCCATTATGGGATTTGCTTAAAATAAAAGTTTGTGTTTTTATTCAAGTTTTATTTTTAATTTTTTAATATCTCCACAGGAGGATTCAAAAGTATCTTCAGATGAAGCTATAGAAAAATTCTCCAAAATTATTCATAAAGCAGATAATTTTCTCGCTAAGAATACACATTTGTTTTTTGAAAATGGCAACGAATTAATTCTTAATAGAATCGATTCTCGCATTGAAACATCTGATCTTGGTATGTAAGACTGTTTAATGAATAATACATAGCTTGTAATAATAATTGAGATTCCAGAGGACAATTCCCTTTAGAATTAAATTTCATTAAGCTTGGTCCTAAAAATCCAAGTCAAAAATATTTGGTCAACTATCTTCAGAAAAAAATAAATTAGCAAAATATTTATAGTATATTATGCAATTGGTCTTCCAAGTTAGGACAGACCCTTCTATTCCAACCCACCTTTTATTGAAGATTAGCCCGAATTTGACAAGTATTAATTAATCAAATTAACAAAATAATCATTTTAATTTTCAGTTTTGGCAAGTATCAAAAAAATTCTCAAAATTTTCAATAATTTCAAAGATAATTTTTCCGAAAACTATTCGCAGTTAAAACGCTTAAAACCCATCGAAATGCACGATTTATTTGAAAATTCTGAATTGCTCCAAAAGCTTTATGAAGCTATTTTGCCTGGAGATGAAATGATGAAATTTAAATAAAGAGGATTTAAATAATTAAAAAAATTTTTTTGCGAACAAGAAAACAACAACATGAAAATTTAGCCGAAATTTAAAAATTAGTAATTAAATTAAGAGTTGCCGCAGCAGATTGGAAACGTTAAAAAGTCTAATTTAGCTGGCGTTGCCTGCTCTATTTCTGAATAAATTAATTCATTCATTTTTTATTTTAATTTAAATTTGTAAATATATTTTTAACTTTGTTTGTTCGCATAAATAAATTCTAAAATTTGATAAAAAAAGAATTGCCCCAGAATGGATTCGAACCATCGACCTTCTGTTTACAAGACAGACGCTCTAACCACTGAGCTACAAGGGCAACTGGCAATTGTCAAAAATTTCAATTTAAATATTTATTTAATCAGTTCGCTAATAAAATTTGAGAATTCTCTTCTTTTTTAATTAAGGTTTATTAATAGAGAATTTAAATAAAACTGGTTTATTAATAGTTAAATAAAATTAAAAAGTTTGTTTAGAATGGGCCGTTTAATTAACTAAGATTTTTCCAGTTGTTGAAGAATTTGGACGCGTGATTTTCATTCGGATAACATTTTTAATTTTAATTAAAAATGAACATTTTTATTGCCATTCATTTTAATATTACAGTGTTACGGAAATGAAATAACCACTTGTATTTTTTGAGATATCTTTCCTTGAATTCAATATTTTAGCTTCTTTTCTTTTCTATATTGATTATCCTATCCATCCCTAGATAAATTAAATTTATTAAAAAGTGATTGTTTTTCAACCGTCCGGAAATGATATAACCACCTAGAATAATTCTGTTTTGGATGGTAGAAAAAATCTACAAAAATTCCACTCAAGAATTACATACTATGTATATTGAAACTTCATTTCTTTTTTATTGTGTTCATCCACAATTGATAACATGTTTCGATTCTAATGTTTGGTAAATTGTTTTATGTGTAATGTTGGTGGATGAAGTGCGAGAATGTTCAATAAGTTAGGTTCGCCTAACAAATAAGACTCCGGTCATGTTACATAAGAATGATGTGTTTAAGGGTAAATTGTTTAAAGGGGGATTTTAAAGGGGATCTTTTGATAATATGTATTATCTCACTAAATAAAAAGAGGGGGGGGGGGGACAAGATAATTAATTAATTTCAAGTTAATTTGTATAAAATTCTATTAAATTAAAATTACATTTTTACCCAGATTTATACGAAAAAATGTTTGAAAATTTGAAATAAATTAATATAAAAATCAGTGTAAGAAAGGATAATTTGGTAAAATAATAATTGTTTGTGAAAAGTAGGAAAGCAACAAAGTTTATGATTTTGAGGAGTCCAGGATATCTACAAAGTTTTAAATTTAAAGCGTCGTTGTTTTTGTTTTTTAGAAGGATTTGAAGCTATAAATCAACCTATTACATCCGTTTTTTGCACCGCAGGCGAAAATTTTCAGAATTTTGGAAGGCCAAAAAGCCAGATTTCAACAAAAACAACTCTAATTTTAATTTTAACTCTAAATTTAATACTTATTCAAAAATACATAATCTTAGTTGCTTTTCTTTTGAGAAAAAACAAATTTTGATATAATTTAAATATAAAGAATGTGCACAACAAAAAAATTTTACAAAACTCAAAACTAATTTTTAGATAAACTTTTAGGCATTATTTCTCTTTAAATGCCCGGCCCTTATTTTATGCCCGATAGCCTATGGGAGTTCCAAAATGTTTCCCCGTCATTTCCAAACCACTAAAAATCAGAAAAGTATTTGATGAAAATAAAAAATATTTGGCGCTCAAAAAAATAATTTTTTTTAAATACTCATCAAGTTTTGAGAATTGTAAACAAAAAAATTGTGCACATTCTTGGTTTAAATAAAGAAAAGATTTTAAAAATTATCAAAGTTCAAGAGGACCTAAAAATACGGCCGTATTACGGTACGGTCCGA